TTTGTCTATGGTAATTTAGTAGCTCATTGCTCTGTATAAAATAAACAATATTCTAATCCACTGTCCTGTTCTCAAAAAACATTACCAAGTCTGTTATACTGACTGACCCAAGCTTTTGAATTGCTTTGATTTTCCATCTTTCTTCTGCTGCTGGAAGTAATCAACCTGAACAGCTGACAACATGCACAGCAACTTATGTGCCCACAACAAGTTCCCTGTTGAGGAACTGAGCCAGTAGTCCTCAGCTGTCTTCAGCTGGAAGGACATCTCACTAGATCCTGTAATGCTTAATCTGACAGATGATGGGAAATCACATAGCTTTGGAAGGGGACAGAAATGCATAAAAACTGCTAGTTGTTCCTAATTGCATTTAATATAGACACTATATAGCTAAAATACTGTTAATTCATTAATTCATTACTACACAAATTTAATTTCTGCACCTAATAAAGTGAACTCGCATCCTTGCAAGACCAAGATGCACATATAATAATTCATTGTATGAATTTTCTGTTTATACAATGTAACATTCTAAACTAAGAAATATGGTCCATGGAGACAGGACTGGTTTGGCGTTCTTCAGTGAACTTGCTAACTACTGGACTCAAAACTTACCTTTAGCAACACAGTTTATTGTTGGTGGGCACATTTTGTCTGCAAGATAACTTTATATTGATATTTTAATTTCTGCAGATTTTAATCTCTAGTCAAATGTTAATGTGGCATATAAGGTTGAGTAATTGCATCTGGAATATGATTTTTATGTAAAATGAACAGATGATGTATACACTCTCACATAAACTGTACTGCTTCTCAGAGTAACAAAGGAATTTTCCTATATAAAAATTTTCTGTATAAAATGGAAACCAGAAATTTTTGCTAGGATGGCACGTAGATACATACCCATCCAGCAAAGACTAAAGAAGAGATCAACATCATATATCCTTGTAATTATAATATGTGATTAATCTCCTCCACATCCATAAACAGCACTTATTTTCTCAAAGAAAAAACTATTTAGGCATCATGTAAAAACAGGGGAGGGGAAAAATTATCAACTACAGTGGCATATCAGTACAGTCCATAAGAACAATGAACCTGGTCTCAGTTGGGATCAAAACTTGATCCTTACAAAAGGCCTATTAATCCTATTCTTTAAAATTTTTCCTGTGAGCTATGTCACTCATTTTACCTCATTCAGATTACCTCACTCATCCTGAAGTCAGCCTTCCTTATTGCTGTCTTTCAGATATGCAAAATTTCCTATGCAGAATGTTTTGTCACATTAATGCAATAATAAAATACAACCTATGCATTCCCTGTTTTATGAGAAACCAATATGGGCAAGCTCCTTTAGAAATTCATGGTGTTCCAAAAATTGAACCTGATCCAGCTTGTGCTGAAATCCTGCCATAGAATCATAGATTGAAAAGACCTTCAGATCATTGAGTCCAACTGTTAACACAGCACTAACAACACCGTCACTCAGCCACATCCCACATATGCGTACAACTGGTATGCTGGTGATTGGCTTTGATTATTATAACTTTCAAAAAAGGTTAGCTTCTCTTTTATCATTGCTTGTTTTAGTTAAGAACCTTCACAGAAGAAAGTACACTGTATTTGAGCCCATTTCCATATTCTTTTGAGGGCTGTATTTTAATGTGGGAAAGACCTGATCCTAGCAGACCACAAATTATGATTTTCACAAATGACTTCATTACATTTGCATTAAACATGGAGTGTAAGAACAAATGAATGTTTTTATCATCATTCAGTGCTTTCAAACAGTCACTTTCCATTAGGGCAGTGATTGACATTTGTTTCATAATGTTCCAGGTAACAGTTGTCCACGGAGATTAAATAATTAAAGTAAAACTCGCATTCAGAATTGAATTAGAGGTTCATTGTAGCCTAATATATAATTTTTAATTGGAATTGAAGACATTCTTTTGTTTGGAAAGACAGTAGTATTTGACACACTGAAAGTGTCAGCATGAAGGCAATGCATTATGCCAAATGTACATGGTAATATTAGTAATATGCTGCCGATATTTTTATGCTAATAGAGAACTTTGTCTGTCCAAACTGTATAAAAATACTCTATGCCTTTTGTGGTTCACTACACACACCTGTGTTATTATTGTATTTCCTAGTCTATTTAAATCAATTGAACATCAAGGAGACCGTAATTTTTAAGGGCACCTGGTGTACTTGATGCCACTAAGGCTCATTTTAAACATATCATGGCTATTTTCATTGCTTTATTCTTTTAATGAAAAACAAACACTTTGGCTTATTTAAATGAACACAAGTGTTTAATGGGAACACATTTCAGTATTCTTGCTCTCTGGTTCAGGCAAGGAAGATTTCATATATTATTTCTTATTATGCTTGAGCGTCTGTCCAAACAAATAGCTGACAGATTAACACATACAATTAGCAAACGCTTTAGTCTTATGAACAGACTACAAATTATGTTATTGATACATATAACAAGGCAATATAGATGATGAGTCAGTGACTATAATACTGTTCTTTTCAGTAGTCAAGAAACACCACTGGAAATGCAGTATATGGGTATTCATTCACAGTATTTTTCCTATAAGAAAACTGTAGTTCATCTTTTGAAGACTATTCAACTGGAGTTGAGAACACAAAGCTGTCCTTGCTTACTGAGCGGGCAGCCTCCACAGCAGCACTCCCTGACCAGTTTCTGGGCACTGGGACATTTGTCATATCTTTTCTGACCCACTGTTTATTGTATTATCTAACTAGTAGGATTACAGATACTAAAAGCCTTCCAGACATTTATTTTTCAACCAGAAGCTGTGGGTTGACAGAGTCTGCACATCACAGTTTTCATTGATTTCTTCCTTCACCTTACTTGACAAAAAATAATAGAAGATGAAAGAAGAAGAAAAAAATTAGTTCTATTTGTTACAGTAGTATCCATGAATTCTACAGTCCCATTGTCCAGTGATGAAACCCAACATTATCTCTTATGGCTTCTTCCCATCTTTCTGACGTAATCTACAGTACAGTGGTCAAGATTATTAATGATAAAAACTATACTTTCTCTAATTTTTTTCTGCACTCTTGAGAATGATGGGGATTTAGGAGACACTTTTTTGGGAGGGGGAAAATTTTATGCTTTTTAAATTCAAGTATTTTTTGAGAGTAGCAGAAGACACCTAATATGTCATTTGCAGCAATTTTAATTGAAGATAGCTGAAAATCAAGAGGTGATCATTAGCCACACAGACTTTCCAGACAGTATTCTCTGAATTCAACCATGTATTGTAAAACTTTATTCTTTGTGAGACCTAAAGAATATCTTAGGAAATGGAACAGGTATTGACTGCATTTAACTGCTCCCTTTGGGCAAAATGTCCTTCTCTTGTAACTAAAATGCAGTGGGTTCAATCTAAGGAGAAGAGGTCAGGCTAAGCTAAGAGTAAGAAAAGGAAAGGACTGACTTCTGTTATACCTGGCTGGTTCTTTACAGTAAACTGTCACTATTTCATGGGCATTAAGTTTTGTAAGGGACTTCAGGTCAAGTCTCTTACCAGTATTCTCTATAAATTCTTTACTCTCCCAGTAGTCTCTATAAATTCTTCCCAAAGCTGTTGGGGTTTAAGTACATTCTGTGCTAGTATTGGTCCAATGTTGATTTACTTTGATTTAGTCACTGTAATTTAAGCATCTTATCCCCTATGCCTTCAGGTTAGGTAGCATGTGAAAATTCCTCCACAAGAAGTATGAGACAAAAAATAAAACCAAGGTTCTTCATATTCTAGATTAATAAAATATATATTTATTGAAGACATACAGCGAAAAACCCCCAAACCAAGGACTAAGTTGGTACTTCATAGAATTGAAGTCTTCCACAGAATTATTTATTATTTGGTTTTACACACTTGAAAATGGTAGTTAGATTGAAATTGAGCATATAATGGACAAACAGCAAGATAGAAGACAGTTTCCTACTTTTGCATTTAAATACAAGCTACGAACTCGCAGCTTTGACTGCTAGAACTGAGTAGGAAAACTTACCTCTCTCTACCCTGAATGTGCTAAAGAATTCTTGGTATTTCTAAGTGTGTTCATAGTCCCCGGTTTGAAAATGGGATCAATTCAAGCACTACTTTTTGCAAATGACTTTCTAATTTTCTGTATTTTATTCTAAATACATAAATACTTTACCCCAAATGTTTTGCTGTTACAAGCCTCAGACACTGACACTGGACTCTATGCAGTTACCCTAATACTCTGGGTTGGAGAATTAGAAGTCAAAAGTTTGGGGCTTTTTCTTCAGACTCTGCATATAGCTTAAGTTTCCACTGATCCATAATAACAGTTTCCACTGTTCCTGTTGCAGGCACTTGCAGAGAAAGGCTACTAGACTAATCATATGAACTCCATTTTTTAATCTAATGAGAATAAAGATAAAAATTTTAAGTTTTCTCTCCCAAAGTTCTAGGACATAAACACCAAGGAAACAGAAGGCACGTTCATGTTGCAAGTTTTTTCTCAGAACAGCTCTTATATTCAAGTATTATTGCATCATTATATCATGTATTGCATTAGTTTTATAAATCTGGTGAATGATTAAAGGGATTGGTCCTCTATGGCAGCTGTATATTTAAAAGAAAATCAATAGAATCACTTGGGTTAATCAAAGTCATCAAGCTGTGTTTGACAGCTGATGGATCATTTCTTAGAACTTGAAGCACTATTTTAAAAAGCCTTGATAGAGTTCATATGGAGAAAACCTATAGGCAGGGCTCTTAAAGGACATAAATTATTTTTTCAGAGTACCAAAAATAGAATCAAATACCTTCAGAATTGTCCCTGCAACCTTATGTAAACAGAAATAGAAAAATTGCTGCTGAGTACTAAATTATTACTTGTTAGCATGGAGTCAATTCCTAAGTTTAAAGTTTCAAAGGGTTCAGTAACTTCTGTTTTCAGTGTGTGCTGAATTTTTCTCTCCCCAGAGATCTGCCTTTTGACCAAGGGCCGTCGAACTGCCAGTGTACGAGCAGACACGTACTGTCGCCTGTACTCCCTCTCAGTGGACAACTTCAACGAGGTCCTGGAAGAGTACCCCATGATGAGAAGAGCCTTTGAAACGGTGGCAATCGATAGACTTGACAGGATAGGTATATATTTCATTTTGTTGCATATGATTATTCTTAAAATCCTTCTGCATTTTCTTTCCTTTGAGCTGCATGATAAAATACCCCTCTTTAAAAGTTTTCTTCTGTTATGCTGCAGTAAATGTTTTCTTGATCTATAAATAACACATGTGTGCAGACAAGAATTTTGCAATCTCACTTTTAAATAATAAAAACCACCCAGTTTTAGAAAGCTCTTGTACTCCTCTGAGGATTATTTTTCATACTTTAATTATCACTAGTATTATTTATTAATCCTGTAGATTTCTTTTGCTGCCTTCAGCACTTGATAGGATTTATGCTGTGTCATGAGCAGTAGATGACATTTTCTTAAATAAATTGCTTAGAGATGACATCTATAATGCTGGGAAGAGCTGAAGCCTCTCAGCACTCACAAACCCGTTGTTTGTTGAAGTGAATTAATCCTTTGCAGCAGGGCTCTCATTTTCCTCACAACATGGGCACTGCTAGCCTTGGTGGCTGCACACTGGCACCGCTCAGATCTGCCTGCAATCAGAAAAGCAATCCAGTAATATGCAAGTGGAAGGCTGAAAGGTATGGCAGATTATCAGAACAATAGGTGTAAACTTGCTGTTCCAGTATTTGGGACCTCCCAACAGGACATACTAGGCAAAGCATAAAGTTTCCGATCAGAAGAATTGTACTCTGATAATTATTACTGACACTGATTTTAAAACACAGCTGTAAAAAAAACAAAAAGCAACAGCAAACTTATCCTGTTTGGTGGTGCTTCCTCAACAAAAATTCAAGAATTCAGTTTGAGGATTTCTCCATATCAACTCAATGCATAAAACCCATACAATTTGTCTCGCAAGACTCTCTGGAAATGCAGTCCAACTCTTAAGTAATATGTGCTTGCAAACTATTAGCAGTAAACCTCCTGTTCTTGGAGCAGCAATCCCATCTGAAGTGCAGTGTTTTATGGGAAAAAAGCCCAAAACCAACAAAAAAAGAGCAGTTGAGTGTTGTTGTGTTCCTGAGCAGCTGATGACTCAGACAGAATAGCGTCTACATCTTATAGACACTCTGAGCCATCAGACATCAGGTCACAGTGTACAGCAGTCTTCACTGTGGAGGCAGGTGTCATATTATCCATGAGTTCATATTAGTTCACAAACCCTTAAAAGCACTGGTTGCTGATGCCTAGTAACTAGTTCCCAGAAACGTACTAAATGGCAGGTGTACTTTTATGTAACTGTTTAGCGGAAATTCAGCCAGTTTTGCAACGAGAAAGACGATGCAGATGCAGAGCACGATGACTTTTTCTGACAGTAGCTCAGGAAATTACAGTTCTTACATGTAATTGTAGTAATAACAGTAAACTGCAGGTGAAGAGGCAGAGAAAGGTCAGGTGTGTCGGACTGCGGCGCTGCTCGAAGGCCCGCGGTGCGGAGAGGGCCGTGGGGAGCTGCGGCCGTGCCAGCGCGGCACAGCCCCCTCCTGCCGTGGGCTGCCGGCCGAGCCGTGCCCGCTCAGCCCCCCGGGGCCTGCTGAGGCTTTTACAGCAGACAGTCCTCAGCGATGGTTGCTGAAACACAAAGCCAGAGAGGGGCTCTGCCCCGCCGCCTCGGGCTCACTAACTCTTCTCCCTCTCTGTGAAGGTAAGAAGAACTCGATCCTGCTGCAGAAGTTCCAGAAGGACCTCAACACCGGCGTTTTCAACAACCAAGAGAACGAGATCTTGAAGCAGATCGTGAAGCACGACAGGGAGATGGTGCAGACCATCGCCCCGGTGAGCCTGCAGCAGATGCCAGCCCTCAATTCCAGCACCTCGGCCTCGTCGTCCCGCGGCAGGACGCAGTCCCCTCCCGTGTACACCAGCAGCAGCCTCTCTCACACCAACCTGCACTCGCCCTCGCCCAGCACGCAGCCGCCCCAGCAGGCTGTCATCCTGTCGCCCTGCTCCTACACCACGGCCGTCTGCAGCCCGCCGGTACAGAGCCCGCTGGCCGGCCGAACTTTCCAGTACGCCTCTCCGACCGCCTCGCAGCTCTCCCTCATGCAGCAGCAGCAGCAGCAGCAGCAGCCGCAGGCGGCGCAGCAGCCGCCGGGAGCCCCGCAGAAGAACGAAGTTCACAAGAGCACCCAGGCCCTCCACAACACCAACCTGACGCGGGAGGTGCGGCCGCTCTCCGCCTCGCAGCCCTCCCTGCCCCACGAGATCTCCACCCTGATCGCCAGGCCTCACCCCACCGTGGGGGAGTCCCTCGCGTCCCTCCCGCAGCCCGCCCCGGGCCCCGGCGTGCCCCCGGCCGGCCGGGCCTCCGTGCCCCAGCGGGTCTCGCTGTTCCGGCAGATGTCCTCGGGAGCCATCCCCCCGAACCGCGGGGCCGCGCCGCCCGCGGCGCCGCTGCAAAGGGATTCTTCCACAGTCTTAAGCACAGAGCCCGAGGGAGACAAACCGCGGTTCGCCTCAAACTTATGATCCCTGGTGACTGTGAGCAACAGACTGGCAACAAACCGAGCACCATCCCCCGAACTGTTTTAGCCTGTTTCCTAACGTGCCCCAGCAGTCTACTATGAGAAAAATAATTTAGACAGCTTTGCCCTATGTAACGAATGTAAAGGTTTTATATATATATATATATATATATCTGAATATATATATATATATAAGCAATTAAAATGGTTGTTTGAGTTCATGTCTTCCTTTTTGCAACCATTACAGAAGATTAAATCTAGCGCTAATATTACTTATTTTTGATGTGTTGACATTAAAATCAGCCAAACAGATTTCTCTGTTTATGAGATTGGCTGTTTTCATGGGGAAATTGTCAACACACCTACTAACTTCAAACAAGTATATTTAAAAAAAAAAAAAAAAAAAAAAGAAAAAAAACATCAATTTAACTAACACATAGCACTGACTGAGTGATATTCTGAAACCTTTGTTACTTCATTGATTGCATATATGTTGTTAATTTCTCATGAAGAATTCAGTTGTTATTTCACATTGCACTTCATATGTTAGCACCATCCATTGGAATTTAGATTGGAAAAGAATTATGTTGCAAACACCTGCATTGCAAAGGGAGGTACTAGCCCTCCTCTGGATGGGTTGTAACCTCATGGCATGGCAACCCTTCTGTTGTCTAAGAGAACTTGGGTGGACTTTGATCTTCACACTGCTAAAGACTTTTCAAAGACTAAATATTGCCATTGTAAATAACTTTTTAGACCCGAGCAAAAATAGCTACTGTGTGGTGTACCATTGCAAGGTCTTTGTTTAGGAATTTAGGTTCCGCTTTCACTTCAAAATTTACAGTTTTAAAATTTGTTAAAGCTAAGTGCAACACAACTGTTAAATTGTAATGCAATGGCTTAAAACCTACAGTGTTACTTTTACATGCAATGTTTTATGCAAAATTGTACGCTTGATCCTGCAAACTGCTTGTACTTCACCAATACCATCACTTTTCTTCTTCTTGCCCTCAATAGCATCTGAGAATATTCCATGCATGCTTTGAAAAAAAAAAGACAATAAAAATAGGTTTGGTCAGTAGGAAAAGGCTTTATGGTATCTTAGAAAATAATAACCATTCATTAATTGTGTCTACCTTAAAATTCCTATAATGCTGACTTTGAATCTCTGGTTTAAGTCTAGAAGTGAGGTTTTTCATTTAAAGGATTATTTGTAAACCACAGCTTGATTTAGACTTTCAGGTGCTTTCTGTGTCTTCACTGTAGTTTTGTAGTTGACTGTGGTGTTAATTTACAAAAATAAATATAATATAGCATCAAGTCTGTCTGGAAATGCACGATTTGCTCTGTGTATATTGTAATTAAATGGTTAGTATATCCTAAGGCATGTAGTGTCAAACATAGCCCATAGGTATGAGGTTTATTATTTTTTATGTCTTCAAAACAGAAAGGAAATGGTGACAGAAAGCAGGGTTAAAGCATACTGTTTTGTGAACATTTTGTTTTGTTTGCTCAAACCTTCACGTTATCTTATCCACAAAAAAATAGAAAAAAAAAATTCGTAATCGTTTGTGCCTGATTTGTCACATTAAATAGAGATTGAAACTAAATGTGTCATAATTTTAACTCACTGAAGAATCAGCATTATGGATATGATACAAGCATATATTCTGTTCCTTAAAACCCAGCTGACTCTGTTAAGGAAGTGGATGCAAAGGAGTTCTTCTCTTCCCATCAAAGCTGAGTTTAATGATGCATGGAAAAATTAAATAACATCACAAACTACGTAATGCAGTGAATCCAGATGTACTTGAGAGCCAAGTAAATACTCTAAAGCTAATAGAGCTTGAACCCATGCTGCCTGTTATACCTTTTACTAAAGTGGTACATCAAATAAAATTTTAAATTTTAAATTTTTTTTTTTTTTTTTTTTTTTTTTTTTTTTTTTTTTTTT